CAGGCTGGCTGCCCAACAGCTGAGAAGCCGGGCAAGAAGCGCAAGGCGCAGGAAGAGGGCGAGGACCGAGCCACGTGTGGACTGCGCCCAGCATCATCTGAAAGTGCGACATGTCGGGCAGGAAGCCGAGCTGGAGGCACGAGCCGCAGCGCTGCGGCGCGGTGTGAATGCAGGCCTCAGGCGCGTTGATACTCAGAACATTTGTGCGGATGTGCCTTGGGATCCTTGGGCACTCGGCTATCTGTCGTCTCTCTGTGTCTCCTTGCAGGGCAGCCGAAGCAGATGCCTTGGAAGCTGCCGCGGCTGCCTTCCGCGGATCAGCAGACAAGGCTGCTACGGGTCGGTATCAGATGTAGGGAATGTTGCTCGTAGGCACCCGATGCAAAGGCACCGCCGCTTCGCATGCACGATGGCGACGAGGAGCAGAAGGAAGGGAATGAAGATGGGAATGATGAGCCCAATGAGGCGGAGCAAGGCTGAATGCTGGCGCCGCTGACCCACTGCAATGTCGCGGATGAATAGAAACAGAAGCTGCACGCTGAGCGGGAATCGGGGGTGGCGCATGTGGCACGTTGTCGGCAATGCTACTGGTAGCAGGATGTGGAGGCTTCGCTGCCGTCCCAGCCGCTGACGAGTTTCCTCAGGCCCACAGCGCCTCGAAAAACTCTGGTGTCGACTCACGTCGGCAGGGCTCAGGGCCGGATCAGCCATCCATGCACAGTCAGAGAGCAGGCAACCTCCAACATGCCCCGCGTGCTTGTGCTTCTTTGGGTAATCGTACCGCGAGCAGTACTGAAAATGAGAGCTTATCTCTGCAACCACAAGCATGTCATGTCGCAGCATCTACCACAGCTCAGGCCCTGCTAAGAATATCTAAGAATCTAAGAATAATTGATGGAAAAACCTGCAAATCTACTTTTTGCATCGGGGTTCTCCTTGTGTGATGGCCTGCATTATTACACATTTACCTGCGCCAGTATGACCCACAGGAACGAAGAGTTCGTTCCCTCGTTCCTAGTTTGCAGGCTGGGAGGACGCAGCCGGCATGACGACACGGAGCTAAGGGAGAGCTAATGTAGGCTAGCTGTGATACGTCCGGAATGCTTGCGTCTTTTAGACTTGAAGGTTCTCCAAGCCCTGAAAGCTCGGCGAGTGTTTGGGATGATTGCTGCCCAAGCATCCGGATCGTGTCGTAGGCCGTCAATGTGGGGACTTAGTTTGCGCTTAGCTTAAGACGTGCTGTCAAAGACACAGCCGCGGCAGCTTCAACAAAAAAGGAACGCAGTCGACGTGGGAGAAGATGAGATGAAGGTGGTGCCCAGCAGCCGCGAAGGGACGCCATGAGACTAGAGACCCGGTGTCGGCTCTGAGCCGAGCAGGGCGTCTGCGAGGGGGGTCTTGCGCCTTTTCAGCCGCTGCCCCGCCGCTCACAAACATGGAAGTCGAGGCGAGGCGCTGCAACACCGGCCTATGCATGAGGGAAGTGCGCAATCTGGTTTCAGGTCCTCCGTCATAATGGCATTCCTGAGCCACGAACCAAGCAAGCTTGTGATTTTTGTTTTGTCACAGCTGGACAGTTGAACTCCAGGTCCAGCATCCTTTCGATTCGTGTGGGAAGTGCGCCACGTGTGAGTAGGAGCCTGTCACACGCTTACGTCCTTGCGAAGGCAAGGTTTGCAAACGCGTGGAAAGGTACCCGTCGCCAAGTCCACGTCTCGCAGTTGGACAGGCTTTACCCTCCATGTTGTGGCCTTCTGCACCTTTTGCAAAACGTTTCGAGGCCACTGAAGTTCCCAACCAAGCTCGAGGACCGCCTGACCGCCTGCACGCTGAAAGCCCGGATTTGTCACTCCGGCTGTGCAGGAGTGCTCCTCTGTGAAGGCTGCTCAGCACATTGCAGTAAGCCAATTGCTAGCTCACTTGCCGTGCAACGCAGGTCGAAATTCTGGACGTTGCGGGTACCGCGCGCGTGTCGTGCAGTCCATCCACGTGGCGTTCACAGGGAAGAAAATCCAAAGCATGCCACGGCCATGTCGATTTCGGAGCACTGCAGGTCGGAATACAGCATTCCCTTAGAGTCGCCGCTCGAGGGAGAAGGCAGCACCGGCATGGAGGCAGGCCGCGTGCATGGGTTGGAGGGCAATTCCTAGTTCCTCTGCCTCAAGCACCCCAGGTTGGCATCAGGCTTGGCGGCGCAGGTGCTGGCCCGGGCATCTGACACCTCCCCATGTGAACTTGCTGCTCTACCGTGCAGAGAGAGCATCGTAAGAAGCAGGCGCGGAAGTCTCGCCGGGCGCTGTAGAGGTCGGGGCCGCCACCCGAATGTAACAGCATCAATGTACACACGCGCTCGCTCGCATCTTGCCTGCGTCGCTCGGAGCATCAACGGAGGAGGCAGAAAAGAAGAAGGAAGACGACGCCAAGTCATACTTGGAGGTGCTTTTCCGTTGAGCGGACTAGCAGAGCATCTTTGCAGAGCCCCGTCTGCTGAGAAACATGGGCTGACTTCCTTCATGCAGTTCCTCATCCAAAGCCTGATGAAGGCAGGTAGCACGCAAACACCAGCAACAGCAAAGCCAGCAAACAAGTCCATAGCACAGTACTTGGTTTCATGATCCGCTATGATCCGCTCAGGACAAACCGGAAGACCCGTGCGCTGGAACATTTCATGCATGCTTCCACATCCTGATGAAGCAAGTTAGTCTGTGCCAGCAGACAGCTATCAGGTACAAGTTCCTTCAGCGGCAAGTGACCAAAAAGATGATGGCGCGGGCCTCGCTTGGTGGATCGGGTGACCTTAGGCCGAAGAGCTGTTGCTTCATTCAACCTGAGAAGCGAACTCATTGCCGCTTAGATCACCGAGCTGTCAAGTGGAGTTTCAGCAGTCGGGCTCTCGGACTCTCACGGTTTACCGGACCTTTGCCTGAAACTTTCAAGCAGAGGGGCAGTGGAACTACTCAGGACCAGAAACTGGAGGAGATGCTGACGAAGTTGAGTTCCGAGGCACAGAGCACTGGTCGGACGGGCGTTGTGATCGTGGCGCTAAGAGCTCAAAGAAATATAACAGGTGACAGACTGCGTCCCTGTAGAGCAGCTGCAAGACCTGCAGAAGCAGGCGGAGGAAGTAGGCTGGGGCGCTTTTTGCCTTTGCCCGCTTAATAGAAACTGACTGAATTGTCGCTACAATTCAGGCGATCAGCTGCGGAAGGACAACAAGGAGCTAAGAGAAACGCTCGACCTGCTGAAGGGCAGGCTGCGGGGGCTCGGCTTTTTCTCTCCCACGAACAACGGATTCGGAAGGTACCGCTCCCTTCTAGTCGAGAACTCGGAGTTAGCACAACAGGCGCGATTGCATCCCGCCGGCGGCATCGTTCTTGACAGGAGCTAAGCAAGCTGCAACATGGCTTGCGGATAATTGCTGCAATCGCGCTCCAAACTAGCTCTCGCTGAAGCGCTTCTAGGAATCGACGCGGCCTCATCGCATCGTAGAATCCGGAGTTATATTTCTTCCAAACCCTTTGAAACGGGTGTACGAGGATGCCTTGCACCCGACGTGCACTCGACGCTTCTGAGTTGGTGTGCGTCGCATCCGAACTCGCCTTCTTCGCATCCACGGCGCATTTCTACGCATTCCGGAGCGTCAATGCCTTGAGTAGTTCATGTGCAACTGCTGCTGGTGCAGTGGAGTCACACTAGCCGTATGAAATATTGCCAGCAGGCTGCCTGTATCTGTGACAGTAGTGACAGTGAGTGCGAACACGGCGCACAAGCCCACGTGCCAGGTCGGAGAAAGTGCAGAAGGCCTTTTGGATTTGAGGGGCAAATTTGGGAGGCTACACGGTAGACCTGCACGCCTGCACAGGCTCCGACCTGGTTTCCATGCAGGCAACTTTTGGAGCACGTCAAGCCGCTTCTGTAACCACCATCCAACACCATTTAGTGCAGGATGATGTGGGAAAGATGGTAAATGAGAATGCCTTGCTGGTGTCCGAGCTGACAAGAACCTGGCCTGCACACAGAATGCAGACTACTGCAAGTTGCAGAGGGAGAGAGTCAGGAGGGACCCCAATGCCAACCTTGGGCGGGCCTATGGCCTGAGGGTCGCGCAGACGACACCTAAGCAAAGAAAGAAAGAAACAGCAAAGTCAATGTCTACTGTAGTAGCTGCTCAGCTCTCCGGCTATCTGCGACGGAAGCTTGAAGTCCAACGTAACAACGATCAATATGAACATCAGGCTCGGACCGGATGTGTGAGTCCATTCGTGAAACTACGTAGCCCCCCTTTTATATGGCAGAAGTTTGAATGGAGTTGGGATGTGTGGGTTGTGGTTGTGGCCACAGAGGCACGAGCTGACCCCAGCAAATTTGTCACGATCTGGCATCCGATTCCAGTGCCCAGGTGTTCGGGATTTGGGCGTTCTGCGGCTTGCTGTTGATTGTCTGATCTGAATTGGATTTTTGAGACATGTTCGCCTGATAAAGTCTGATGCCCTCCTCGCAGTTTCCCGAAGCTTGCTGCGTCAGATGCAAGTAGCAATCATGCAAGCATATCATCATCATCATCATCATCATCATCATCCATACCAGCTAAGGTATGCAGGCCAAGATCGTGTCCATTCGGGATGAAATCGAGACTCTACAAGCGCCGGCCACATGACCGACGGGAAGTTGTGTTTCACTACGCATGTTCATCACACGCATGACTGGCTTATCTTATTCTCTCAGTGAGCGACAGGGCGTTTTCAGTGGACTTCTGGAATCAAACGAAATGCTGGCTGGTTGTGCGATCGAAGAGCGATCACCTTCTCACCCCAGTGAAGCTGGAAGGATGTTACTGTTTGCGCTCCATATTGAATACCAAGTGCTCCGTTTCCGATCGAAAAGCAAGTATGAGTGCTGTGCCCATGGCGCGGCGTGGCCAGTAACAACTCCGCAGTACACGGAATGTCGCTTTGGCTTAAGGCACTTCCGGGTTGAGGCTGGGCCGAGAGTGCGATAGAATGCAGCCCGCCCATCCTGGGAGGAGGCCGATTGCACAGCGACTGCCTTGTGAATCTTGTCTGAGCTACCTTGTCTTGCTGTGCTGAGGAATGTCGCGACTGGAACCAGTGTTGCAGCTGCTTCCGCCGAGGTGACGCTTGCCAAGAAACACTGACACTGGAAAGCCATGCAAAGCCCCTACCCTGAGCCTGGCCCACAAGCATGCCCTCCTGTCTCTTAGCATGGTGCCGGGTGCCAGGCCAACTCAGTTTCTTCTATGCTCAGCACCTTTGAGGCATCACTCACAGCACTGCGAGACACTTTGCTGCCCGCGTCATGGTGTAACAAGACGCACTTCGATCGAGAGGTTGCCATGCTGGAGTCGACTGAGCCTTGGGAGGCAGGACTGCAGTTGGTCAGTTAGTGCTCTTCCAGCTTTCTCGGATCTGTTTCGGCAATTGACTTGTCTCCAGGCTCAGGCACGCCGGGTTCCGCGACGGCCGGGGTCGAAACAGGAGATCCAGCTCGAGCGGATGTTGGGAGGCAGCTACGTGCTTCTGTTAAGCCTACGTCTGTGCTATGAAGATTATGAAGTACTGTGTGTGTGGCAGGTGGTGACTTTGATTTCGGAGAGTTCAAGCCATGAGCTCGGCCCAGAGACGAATCTTTCGGGGCCCTGAGCCTCAGTCTGCAAGCCTTCGTGAAAGGAGCCGCAGCAGAAAAGCTCAGGCCTACTTTTGCCCTTCAGTCGAGACTTGATACTGTTGCCGTAGTGGGCTCCGATTCTCCAGGCCCCGTTGCTTGCATCCTCAATTCCCAGGCCATGTTTCGATCCTGTCGGTTCGAGTGGCACGAAGCCTTGGTTCAGGGACCCCGTTCCAGCAGTCCTGGAAGCCGTGGTGAAATTCAAGCAGGAGGCCATGGGGCTCAAGGGGCCACGGCCGCACTGAGAGAACACGCGCGAATCAAAGCGCACGTCGCTTGGAGGCCTCGGCTTGTGTGCAGAAGTACCTGGCTGAAAGGGCTCTCCCAGCGCCACAACCAAAAGAAGCCGAGGACTGAGACACCCAGAACTGCAAGTTCTCTGGGCAAAGTCTGCAAAGTGGCAGAGTCTGCAGAGCCGGAGCTCAGGCTCCGGGTCCTTCGGGAGCTCTGAGCTCGTCGCACTCCCAGTGCCAGACACTCTCCCAGCTCGCAGATATTCGCACGGCGTCGCACGGCGCTTCAGTTCGTGTCGGAGTCTTTCAGACCTACCCAGACCGTAGGCACATCAGTTTGAGCTCGTGCCAGGCATCCATTCGGCCTCCCAGCAAACTCGAAACTCCCGGGAGCAACCCACCCACAAGCGTGCAGAAGCTCTCCACACCAAACGAGATTCCGAAAGATTCCACAATGAGACGCCGTAGCATGTCAAGAGGACCCGATGTGCCTTTGATCGCGAGATGTTTGCTGGTGAAAATTGAGTTGGTAGCACTGGCCATGAACGAATGAAGAGCAGGCGCAATGTGGCAATACGGAGCTGGTAAATAGGAAGCTCTGAAGCGGCTCTCAAGTGACGCGTGCTGACGCGTCTCGAACGAAGGCGGCCATCCACGCGGAGCATTCCTCGAGAAGAGCCTGCAGGCCGGGCCCCGGCGGCCGGGATCGCGGGCGGGAACGTCTGTGTTCTTTCGCATGCCCTGTGGCTCTGGTACAGCTGGGCTTTTGCTGGCACATGCTGTCAATGCAGTTTTCGGATGCTGTTCGGGAGAAAGGGAAGCGTCCTCCCTGTGGGCAACATCGGGTGTTGCCGGAGAGGCAGCGACACTCTTCCTTCATGCAGATTCGCCACTCACCAACTGTTGTTGCTGTTGTTGTTGTTGTTGTTGTTGTTGTTGCTACAACTCCTGCTACTCCTATTACTACGACGACGACGACGACGACGACGACCGCAACTGCGACTACGACGACGACGCCGCCGACTACTTCTACTGCCCTGCACCTGTCCCTGTTCCACGACAACTCCACAACAACTGGAGTTTGGACGGAGCCACGTTCGAGGCAAGTGAAATGGATGTCTCAAGACTGGTTTTGCCCATAACTGGTTTTGGTCAAAACCAGTTTCGGGCGCTGCCAAGCCGCCCGGCCCCCTGGTCTCTGGTCCCGGCTCTGTGCACCCCTGGCCCTGGCCCTCAGCCACTGCCGCCACCACCACCGCTGCCGCTTCAGGGAGCGGCGGATACGTCTCTCTTCTTCCAGCTTCTCTACTCCTGCTTCCTCTCGCAGCTGCCACGCCAAAGTGTTAGTATGCCATTGCCTCACTTTCGTGTCGTGACACGTCGCCGAGACAAACGCAACGAAACCCATGGCCCATTGTCGGTGTTTGTGTTCTTGGAAGTTTCAACAGTGCTTGCTTTCTGCTCCCTGCGACTGCAGACCCACCTTCTCATCTCGGTTTCTGTCTTATGCCACCGGCGCATTGCCTTTACTGTACCTGTGCGCTTGTAAAGTTTCAGTTGGCAAACAAATCAGAAAACATTGCGACGCTGCGAGTTGCTCCAGCCGTGTAGTGGTCCTCCTTTGTTTTTGAGGCGTGGCTGTGCCAGGATCGGCGGGAGTCCCCTCCGGCAGCCGTGAGGCCGGCTGCAAAAGCCTGCAAAGGAGGTGTTTCTTTGCTGCGAACACCGGCGTGCGGACTTCAGTCGCAGTGCAAAAGGCTTGGGGTTCAAAGCCAGGACCAGGAAGCCTCTGAGCCTGGTGTCGACGACAAAGTCGACGAGGAGAAAACTCTCAGTACTTCGGAATATGGAGTGACGACACCAGGTTTCTCCTCTGTGCTCCTGTCAGGTGACAAGACACCTTTTGCAGGCCAGGGAGAAGATCGAAGCCTACGCCTCAGCGGGGCAAGACCACCAGAGTCAGCGAGAGGAGAAGCGGACGTAGTCGAACGCATACATGCACACTCTTCGAAGCACCCTCACCTTGAGCAGTCTTTAGGCATCCTTAGCTTATTGTCAACCCAAGCGGAGTTAACTTGCGACTGTGGCATACATGACCCTGGCAATGAGGCTGTTGAACGAGAGTTTGCGCAGATCATGGGAGAGCTGGCCGCGTGCGGCAAACAGTGAATTCTGTGCTTAGGACCGAAAGCGTGGCTGTGGAGTTTCAGGGTTGCTTGGCACTGCGTGCCTCTACTAGAGGGGAGCTGCAGGCAAGAAGCGAGGGAGAAATACAGGTTCCGGGCATGAGGAGCCTTTGAGGCATCTATTCTAACCTAAGGCACTTCGGGGGATGGAGAGCAAACGGCATTTGGCGTATTTTTGCGTCAAAAGCTATGACGAGCTGCTGTGCGGCATAGTCGTCTGTGTGCTCGGACGCCATGTGCGACGTGCTTGACCTGGTTGACTCCAGGTACGGCAGGCAAGCAACGCTTCCAAGTCACTCCGTCCGGCAGGAGCCTCAGCGTGGACGGGCGTTCCGCAACGGCCTTGACATGCCTTGACATGCCTTAATTTGTTGCAAGCTGAGTGGCAGAGGAAGTGCCAGAGCTTTCCTGGCAGTGGAGACGCCGGAGGCGGAGGCGGAGGAGGAGGAGACGCTTCTGGCGGCGCCAGCTTCTGAGCAGCTCCGGCTCCAGACGCTGAGCACTCGGACGGAGACGGGGAGACGATTCCTGGCACTTCGTGGCACACCGATCTCCACGAAGCGAGCCGCAACGCGGGCCGCCACCTCGTAATCTGGCGCCTGACATGCCATGACCTGCACAAAACACCCGCCTCGCAGAACTCGACGTGATGAGCACTTCCTTTGTGTCAAGAACGAAACGGCGGGCACCCCGACAACGCTGGCAGCATCTACGATTGTGCGGCAGGTTCTGATAGCAACAGCGGGGGCGAGGCTATGTGGTCTCTTTACGGCAAAGGTTCGCTCGGTTGATGCTGCAAGACAAAGAGTGCAAGTTGCTGAGACAGCCTATAGCGCCGCTTGCAACATCCGGCTTTGCAAATATGTGGCCGCAGCTTTGGACCGAGTCCAACCTGCGAAGAGTTTCTTGAACTCGCAGGTCCAACACAGAGCGATGCCCGACCAAGTCCTTGGCACGGCAGTTCATCTTCGCTACAAGTATCAGCAGTGTATAATACAGTATATAGTGGGATATAGTAGGCTTTCCTTAGGCCGAAGACTGTTGAGTTGCTTGTCAAGCGAAGATAATGCATACCGTAAACGCCAGATTCACAAGCTATGCTGGTCTTCCCAAGTCAGAAAAGGCCATATTGTCAACGCCGACATCTTGCAGGATTCGGGCCACAAAAAGGTTGTCACCACAAAACAGGCCAGAGTGCCATTCTCGTAGCATTCAGCTGCAAACCTAGATGAGGTTGAGCCAGCAAGCATGCGAAGGCACCTTTGTTGCATGCTGCTTTGGGACTGTTTGCTCAGCAATGGGTGGGAACGAGACTTGGCAGAAGAGACACTGACGAGAGGACTTACATCTGCAAGGTTCAAGAGGGACATTATGCGGCTGTTCAGGTCGGAGAAGTATTCTTCCAGAGCTGCTCTTGACATTGGTGCCGGGGAGGGAACAACCACTGCAGCATTGGCTGTAAACTTTGCCGTCGTCGTTGCCATTGAGAAAAATTGGAATAGTTCCTGGAGTGGTGGCTTTCGTTTAGACTCGAACCGTCTCTTGAAAAGAGACGGCAGCAAAATAACAAATGTCGTGCGGCTTCATGTTGACACTCTTTTGTCAGGTTCCTTTGCCCCTCTTGCCGATCAGAACTTCTCGGCTGCTGTCATTGATGCTGATCACGAAGCCACAGGTGTTATGCGAGACACGTTCAATATTCTGCGCGGACTGCCTTGCTGCGTGGAAACGATCATTTATCATGATTATTGCGATGAGATAGTTTACGCGGTCGTCAACGAGTTTGTGGAAGCGGGACTCTTGACATTTCGTTCAGCTGTGGGCGAGCCCAAATGGCATTACTGGTGGTGCAAGGACGACAGGCCGGAAGGTGCCGCCATGCGGGTACTGTGGAATCCCTTCCATGAATTTCAAGAGCGTCTTGAGCGACTGTACCGGCAGTTCGTCGGCTGGGAAGGATCAATGCAGGAAACACTGAACGGAAGCACGTGGCTGCTTCTTCCGGCTGCTGCTTCCCAAATGTTCGTGCTGAAGATTGGGTTTTGGCCCAGCATGTCGTATGTCAGTTCCGTCGCGAGCGATTTCGACCACATCAATGTCAAAGGCCCTGCTGCAGCCAAGCTTCGTGCGTTTCGGGCGGGATACGCAAAGGTGGTGCCATGGGATATGCCTTTCTTGTCAATTGTTGCAAAACATGATGGGCGGCGACATGTGCTGTGGGCTGAGCTGGATCGCGATCTAAGCTTGTTGCGTCTACACGCGACAACAGACCATCCAGTGCGGTGCCATCCCGGATGCATGGGCATCAGCTTTCGACAGAGGGTCAGCTGGGCGAAACAGATAGACCATCTTCTGAACGTCGACGAAAGGCTCGTAGCTGCAGCAAAAGTGCTGATAGAACCCAGGACTTGAATGTTGCCATAGTTGCTGCAACTGTGTGTGCATAAAGGGTTCAGTTTTGGGTCCTCACTCTTGCAATCCCATAGTATGCTCCATGCCAAGTTTGCATGGCCCCGTACCCTTTCACAATCGCGTAGGAGTGTCTTGATTAGCTCCAGCTTGCAGAACGAGTTGCACACAAAAGTGAGAGGCTGTTCCCGGATGATAAAACAACAAAACACCCACAGGCAATTTCCTGTTGCGACTTACAATCAATTGCAGGAAGATCTTTGTCCGCTAGTTCGGGCTTTGTGGGTTGCTGGTGGATCTCCCCGCTTCAGACAAAATCATGGAACTTCGACTCTTGTAAATTGTACGCGACCAATCGATACTGTTGAGCTCCACGAACCTTGACTCGTGTCGGTGAAGGCTTATGGATACGCTAAGCTACATGAGACGCGCAATGGTTTCCAGGATGAAATGGCGTGTAACCAGTTTACGTGCGGTTGGATCAAAATCGTTTGATTCCAGTTCAGAGCATGGTGGTGCTATGTTGACTGGATCGTGAAGGTTGGACACGCATACCAATGCCAAGTCTGTATCCTGGAACGCCGAAAATCAGAATATCCATTACAAACACCTGACCACAATGTCCTGCAGCCGCGGCTGGGAGTGAGGCAAGACAACTGATGCAACAAAGACACATGGGGCAGCAATCACAGCAGTAGATGTTGCTACACCCAGATTTCACAGCAGCATGGATGTATACTGACGCAGTTCTTCTTTGGTTCCAGATACCGTTCACTAATGCAGCGTATTACCTGCACACTCCTACTGACACACTTCAGGCATCATATTGCAAGCACTCAATTCAACAGACTTTTATGCTCTTGGTACCGATGCTGGCACAGCGGGTACTGACACCGCTTGCCAAAACATGGGGGCATGCGGCCTAGCTGCTAGCTTTCTGCTGTGTCGCATTGCAGCATCAGGCGATCAGACAGAAGTATCAGTCACTAGGTGGGTGCCAGTTCAGACAGCGACGTCCGTGACGACCATGCAGCGACGAGGTATGCTGACTTGTGTCGCAGCTTGACATGTGCACCAATGGTGTTTCGATTGACCAGTCGAGTGCACCAGCTGCTCAGCGACGCGGAATACTTCCAGCAGGTTGCGCCGCAGTGTGAGAGCACCGTCTAGCTTGGAGACATGAATCTGCTTGGAATGGTGAGACGGTCAGGCTTTCGCACAGGTGCCCTCAGCTGGCTGTGCTGCCAAGAGACTGGGGCTCGAGCCTTCTCCTCGCAGGTATGGCACCACTCTGGTGGCTCCAACAAGGCCAGCAAAGGCGAGTTCATGCAGGCCGCGGACCCCAGTAACGAAGGTGGCGAACATGAGAAAAGTCACTGAGATGGGCATGTAAGACAAGCTGATCATCAGCCCTCCAAGAGCAGGGCCGGGGGGGGTACAGCCAGCACGCGCCGGCTCCCAACAGCCCCCCAAGAGCGCGGGATGCGCGATGAATCTGCATTGAGCTGTTGCAGTGAATTTGTAGTGATCTAAAAGGCGAGATGTTGTTTTGAAAAGAAGTTGTCTGCCAGCAGCACATGTGTGGAAGTAGTATTGTTTTCGGGAGAAATGAGAGTGTCCCGTTGTTGCAGCAGTCGTGAATAGGAACATGTAGGAACTCCGAGCAAGCTTAGGTGATGCTCCAGTTCATGGACGTGGAGAGTGTACAAGGCCTCTCTGCGACCAGGTTATCGCAATGTTTTATCAGCATCAGCATGCAGTCCTGCCTGGACCCTCATAAATGTTATGAGTTATGACTCAGTCATACGGTCACACGTGGAAGTCCACGGGGCCAAGTAAACCTTGCCAGATTGGCCAGAACGTTCTGCGCATTGGTCCCGAGCGGAAGCCCACATACTCGCGGTGAAACGACAGTCGATTGGGAGAGGAAATTGCGAGGGACGTCTTCAGCAAAGTCCGACTATGCCCGCAATGCGATTGTGGGTACAGCAGGCCCCCAAGGAATGGGGCACCTAATAAGGGTCCATCGCCTCATGAGGTGGCAGTTCTTAAACATCTGGAGCTGGAGACGAATACAGATCGCAGCGTTTGATGCTGACGAGCCGCAGAGCTGCAAGTGGAATGCTGCAAACAACAGCGTCTGAATCGGCCGAAGATGCTGCAAATTCCAACGTTTGAAATCGTAGCATTTGAAGCCGTGTGAGGGGCATCGGACAAATGCACCTCCAAACAAAACTCGAATTTCACAATTTCTCGCCACGAGACGGGACCCTGCCAAGTGGAATTCCTAAATGGAGTGCCGCACATTAGGACCATGCAAGTCAGAATTCCATAATAGCTTGCGGCGCAACTGAACCGTTTTCCCCAATCGCTTGCAGCCAGTGCTGGTAGTCCCAGAAGTGTAATTGTGTGTGTGTGTGTGTTGTTTTGGGGGGGAGTCGGCGAGACTATGTAGGCTTGCTGATGCCTTAGCATTGCGGGATCATGCCAGATTTGTTTGGCACAACTCTGCATTTACCCAACTGTTCTACACATCTACATACAGGTGAAGCCTAGTTTATGAGATCGGATGGCTCCTGACCTACATAGCCTTCCGTCGAGACTCCTGCTTGTGCGTGATTTGATGCGAGCGTTGTGGAGGTTATGGCCCGGCTGTCGACGAAATGCAGAGGCGTCGTGTATTGTGGCGGGCGACCATGTGGAGACCCCTAAAGGGCACTAATTCCCAAGGCGCACCCTGCAGCAGCTGGGAGCCGCGGCCGACCTACTGCCTCTTGGATGCCGTGGATCTTCACTTCTGCAATTCAGGCATAGCAGTGCGAAGTGAGCTGAAGCGAGGCCCTCCCAACTGTCCAGACCAGAGGCCAATGGTGCTTTTCGTGCCCCTTCTGCGTGACAGCGTCGGAGGAAGATACATGAAACCTGACACACAAGCACAATGGGACGCAGCAAAGTGCGACGTTTGTCGTTCGAAGCAGATGTTTGTCAGCGCGAGAATCCGCAGAGTGCGTCAGGCTCTCAACCTCTTCCGCACAGTGCTCCTCGCTGTCCCTTACCGAGCACTTGA